CGACAATGGGACAAACTTCGTCGGAGCTTCACGATCTTTAAGATCTGAATTTAAGGCATTTTTAGCAGATTCGCGTGAAAAAACAGTTTCAAAATACAATTATCAAATGCTCACATGGCGTTTCATACCCGCCGCTGCTCTTCATATGGGCGGCTTATGGGAGGCGGGGGTGAAAAGCTTTAAAAGCCACTTCAAAAAGATTGCATCCGTTCATAAGTATACATTCGAAGAGTTCAGTACTCTTTCATGTCGGATTATGTCACTTCCTTACCGGTGGACACCTACTAGCCCTACCTGAAATCGACGCTCACGAGAATCCTGCCTCGATAGTAAATCGGTGGCAGAAGCTAAAGGCCCTTCACCGAACTTTTTGCAAGCGATGGAAAATCGCAACAAAAATGTAAAACTAGGAGATCTTGTTGTCATTAAGGGGGACAACCTCCCGCCAAATGAGTGGAGATTAGGTAGAATAATCAGCTTATATCCTGGTCCTGACGACCGGGTACGGGTAGTTGACATCACCACGGAGAAAGGGCAGTTAACCAGACCACTGGCCAAACTGGTTCTCCTTCCATCCCAAACTGAAGAGAACAACGACCTAGCAAGCAATTCGTAAACAAAGCCTCTCCGTGGATCCTTAACCCGCCTGAATTCCACTTCCTCATCCCGCGTGAATTCCACTTCCTCACCGCACAAAAATTCCACTTCCATGCATTCGGAGGGATTCCACGCATATAAGTAACTTTAATCCAGAATAATATTAAAAGTAGTCGTGTTTTTTAGTAAGATTGGAGTGATTGTACTTGGCTGTATTCCCACGGCCCGATCTAGTAACAAAGAACCGACCATCATGAGATCTAAGTATCGACCAGAAAATGCTACAGACACTGAAAACTCAAAATTACAGTTTAAACTTCACTATCAGTATTCAATGAACTGCTTAATTTTTTGTATTTGCTTAATAAATGTCTTAAACATTGATTAAATTCTCAATGTGTAATGAAAACATAAATAAGTGTATATATGCAAGTTTGTTTATAATTTAATTTAATAAAAACCGAATCGTGTTAACAGACACGATGATTTCTTTAAGTAAACGCTAAAATTAACAATGCATCCTTGCACTGAATGGTTGACAGCCTCTAACAATAGGTTTGTATAGTAACTTCTTCAATAAACATTGCAGCTAGAGCGTGAAAGCAAAATAGGGCGTGAAATTGAGAAGAGAAAACTAGCAGAAAAAGTTATTAATACAAAAGTAGCAAAAACTTGCAAGTAACCAGTTGTTGCACTGTTTTGAGATTCTGCTGTAAACCTTTTACTATTTATAAATCAGTTTTTTAAAAACTCTTTGCTTTACACACAAGCACTTACACAGTCCAGTACATCATTCATATTTTGATTTCCACCCATTTTACTTATGTTTGTGCTAAACATATTCAACATAGGGCGGCTTTTGACATTTATTCTTCTTCTTCTTCTGCTAGCTAATTTCTGCTGGTAAAAATTGCACTAAAAAATGTGCAGCTCTCCTGTGTTGTTGCGCTCTTGATTCAGTGCTCTTATGCAAATTTTTTGGGTTAATCATACACTGTTCCAGTTAAAATTTGCAGGTTCCAGTACAAATTAGTACTGACTATTGGCTACTATACAAACATATAATTAATTGAAATTTGCTACATATGTACATACCTATGTATGTTTAAAAATTCAACTTCAGCTGACTCACCCTTCAACTTCTGGTTCGCACCGAATTTTTGTTTGAGCGTATGTAGGTATATAGTCGGCGTGCGAAAAAAACACAAGCAGTGAGAACAGCACTCCACAGTAGCAGACAGGCAGTATGTTTATTCGAGCAACTGAAGAAAACTTGCGCGCTCGGAATATACAAATATATTGATTGTTTTATTTGGACGAGTTATGTCTTTTAAGCTTGGACGCTTTATAGCACCATTCCTAGATAACGCAGTATAGTTTTTTGTTGCGGAAGCGATCGAACCGTTTCCATTAGTCTTATATTAAATTCAGTGGCGATTGCGTTGCTTCAGAGACCGTAGATTTTTTGTTTTTGTTTCATTGTCGACACCGGTGCCGAGGCCAACTTCCCTAATTCGCTGGTTTTGGTTTCGACACTGCTGCAAGGCATTTTGGCGTATGCTGTGGTTGTTGTAATGACGGCAGCAGCCGCAGATATGGTAATTGGTATTGTTCCTGATGATTTCACTATTTACTGATCTACATACATATAGTTTACCAGTTTGCGAAAACAATAGCAACTAAAACTATGTGCCAAAAACAATAGCTATATGTATGTGCATTCAATTGCGAATGCTTACAAACATACATATGTGCATACATACATATCTACACAAATTTCATGTTCAAGGGCGAGTAATTAGCGGTTTGCCTAATTCCTTGTTCTTATCATAGGCAAGTGATAGTGTTTAAGCGTCTTCGGCATCAGTACAGGAGCGTATTCAAGTGATAGGTAGTTCAGTGGCGGATCAGAGGGCGCATGCACTAAAGGGCGCATACAATGTGACCGAACATCCCGGGCCCGTTGAAATATATTTCAAGCAGGTAGTACTGCTAATTTATGAATTGGTCGACGCAATATTCCTTTCGAAGTTTTAACATCGACGACTCTTATACGACCATCACTGCCAGGAATGCCCTTGATGACCCGTCCCATAGCCCAACATTGTGAAGGTGTGTTATCATCATGAATAATTACCATTATTCCCTCAAACACGTTGGGTTTACCAGTGGTCCATTTAGTTCGTGCTTGCAGGCTGTTGATATAGTCGCGTGACCATCTGCGCCAAAACAGCTGCTTGATCGCAGTAACACGAGCCCATTTGCTGATATGATCCATGTTGCAATTTTCCTCGCGCTCTGGGATTGGCATTAGGGAGCTGCCAATCAAAAAATGGCCAGGAGTTAGTGCCTCATAATCACTTGGATCTGCCGATAAAGGTGAGATTGGCCGCGAGTTTAGTATCGCTTCGATGTTTATCATCACTGTGTTCAGCTCTTCGAAGGTAAGTCGACTATTCGCCATGCTG